ACAGGCCCTTTAATATTAGATCTTCGATGACTCTTGCAGGATTGACTATATTTATTATGATGAAGTGTTTTGCGAATTAGTGCTCTTAATCGGCGAGACGCAAAAAGACGCAAAAAACTCGAATGCAGCTGGCTGCATTGGTTTCTTCGGCACAGGTGTCAGGAATGTTGATTTTCACGGTTTATCAAAGTTTTGATGACAGAAATGTGCACTGCAACGTAGTCTCGGGCAACTTTTTTTTTAATGTCGCTCAGTGTACCATCACCTGACGAGGTAACTGGCAGGCCGCTTTCTTTAAAAATACTGATGTGTCACCGCAATGTTTTAGGCGATCAGCACTTCATAAACAATGCCCAAGGGCAAGTGCCGACGGCGTTAGCCCATCTAACTATAAAAGAGCTTGTCTGCCTTGCTCAATAACACGCGTGGCCTGTGACAGCACGGGAGCATTCACGTAGCAATGGATGAGAACGGCCGTACGTGTTAGCACTTGACAAAACAGACGGCAATGCAGTAGCTCTGGCCTTCGCAGATCACAGGCTTCGTAAGAACATTACAATAAAGTTGTTTCCATCCACCGCATGAACACTTCGCTGACGCACTGGGGTTTCATGCATGTGCGACCGGTCAGTCACACGTGAACTGTGCGAAAGCATTTATTTCATCGCCGACCTTGCCCTTCGCGACAAGCAAAACTTGGCAGCAAGAACACTTTCACCTTTGACAACACCATTGCAATCTAGAAAATGCAGTACGTCCAACAACTGTAATCCGCACATCATACTGAGAAACTTTATGGCGCACACACTCTAATGAAGCTGCGGCGCGGTGGACGGCCGCGCTAGCTCCAACCACCAGGTTCAACTAAGCATCCAGCAATCACATGAAGCAGCGACAACACTCCAGTCCTTCTTGGGAGTGGCCTAGGCCATGGCCACGATTTCATCGGAGTTTTCACCACCTACACACATCGCAGGCGGCTACCGTCTCGCAGTGTTTACCTTTCGCAGCCGCAGTGCCCATGGCGCCTCCTGTATTTAAAATACTTGTAATATGTATTTAAATAACAAACCTAGGCTAATTGACTCGTTAAACACCTGTTTAGTAAAATTTTTGTAGGTTTACCACAGTACACACGAATAATTTACACATTTAACTAGCTTTAGGTAATAATTTTTAAAGTGACGTCACTTCTGTGCGGCGCAGAAGCCACTTCTGTGTGCGGCTACAGTGTACTAGAATTGGGGAAGTGCGTCGTCCGCGGGGCCCACTTCCTCCGTGGCGGGGCCGAACAGTAGGAGCGGAGGGGTCACTGCCACGATGAAAATCGCGGCGGTCCGGTAGGGGCGCCACCAGCAAGAGGGATGCTTCTGCGGCTGCAGCAGCTCCGGCGGCCGGCCTAACGAGACGTTGCAGTGGCACTCACTTGTTTTGTTCTAGGTGCGTCGTGGAGGAAATTTCTCCCCCTTTTTTGAACCTATGGTGAAGAATGTGCTCGTCGTGAACTGGTGCAGCGGCGACGTGAACCAGTGGCATGGCGGAACGACGGCGGGACAAGCGCGACCGCACGTGTTTTGTGCCATACTGCAACAGCGGCTATCGGTCGTGCAAAGAAGCGCCGTCGCTGTTTCGTGTTCCGGCGAACGTCGTTAAACGCTAATCTTGGTCCTGGCTTATTAAAAGAGCCGACAGAGAGCTCAACGACGCAAGTGCGGTTTGCGATTTGCACTTAGAGGCCCACTTCATTGAGCGGACTTTCAAAACAACTATTAATGGGGAAGTTGTTGAAATCGAACGCGATCGTCCGCAGCTAGCGAAAGATGCCTTGCCGACCATCTTCCCCGGGGCCCCAAGCTACATATCAAAACGGCTCCCATATCAATACAGCACGCTACATAGCTAAATATAGCTAAATATAGCTACATATACATACATATACATATACATAGCTATACATAGCTACATATCAATACAGCACGCAACTTGGCCCAGCAGTTGTTTATTACTCTGTGCCTCCGCGATCGTATCGCTAATCTTGTCTAGGCCTTCGCCCCGTTGTCACTGCGCATTTAATCGCAATATACGAGTGTTGTGTTCTGGGTTTTCAGTTTCGGTTTCGGATTGACATGTGAGGATGCCAGGGGGCGCCGCTCTGGCATCTAGGATTTAGGGGCGACTGTAAAATAAAGGCAGTGTGTGTTGGGTAACCGTGGAGTGCGGTTGTGCTTTCTTTCGGCGCTTCGCGCCAACCCGCGTGTTCGGGCTGGTCGGTGTCCCCGCCGGCCGCGTACGTCTCCGTCGGCCGTCTTCTTCTTCTTCTGCTTCGTTGGGACCAGCCAGCCCCCAACACAGCAACGAGCCTCCTCGGTTAATCCTTTAAAGTGTCTGAAAATATGCGTCCTGACACACGGGCACCCTGAAGTCCTTTAGACAAGGGGACATCTTTCGGAAAGGCGTTCGGGCGCAGTGACACACGACAAAGGAGTAACTCCTCTCCGGCAAAGATCCTTTTCGCAAAAGCAGATCCTGCATCTACTTTTCTGGCAGGAAGGGAGTACTCTCGCATACAGTGTGCATAATTTATCAATAGGAGAAAACGTGTCGCAACACTGCGGTGCCCTGGCAGTATTTTTTTGCGCTGAGAAAATGTTTTCATTTTCAGCAGCAGTGCGATTTGTTGAAAAGTGAAGACCTATAGTCTGTCCATACTCTCAAACACCTGCATTACGTCACTAGCGCGATCATGTCGCTAATCTTGTCTAGGCCTTGTTGGCAGTGGCAGTTGCTGTGTCCGGGACGTAGTATTTTGCAACAATGGAGTCGGCTCAGTCGGTGAAGAAAAAACCGCGCTTCCAGTGGACTGAAAAGGAGACTTGGGCGCTGATAAAGCTATGGGAGGACCATTTGGACGCCTTGCGAGGGCAAAAGCACAACGGAGGAGTGTACCAGGCGATTGCCGAGAGCCTCACCGACGCCGGTATTCCCCGTACACGGGCGCAAGTTCACAGCAAAATTGACAACTTAACACAGACATTCAGGTAAGACGGTCACTCACGCTACGCGTTGTCGCGCGCGTCCTGCTTGCTTGTTTAGTGTGTGTTAAGATCGGGCCTGTAAAATCCGACATGCATGGGTACCTCGCATATCGAGGAACGCGGGACTCCACGGTACCTGCGAGTACGCAGCAACAGATACTCAATGGCGTCCCTACCATGCGCGGTCCGCGTCCCACAAAAAACCTTGGTGATAAGCGCGTAGGGTGTGCGCTCGGCTTTCTCTGACCTTTGCTGGCACACTCTTGTCATGTGAAGGCGCGTCTCTGCGCTCTTTTTTTTTAAAAAAAAACCATATAAATATGTAAATTAAACGTGTTCACTTCGTAAGAAGCGGTACAAGTGTCTTTCTGCGCCGGAAACTGGGTTCCAGCCTTTACCCCGCCTCGAGTCACATGAGTGTTTATGCTTGAGAAGTAACCAAACATTGTACCGCTCAGGCCGAATTTTCAAGATCGGTGCCCTGAGTCGTGTACGAAGCATGTTGCTAGGTGCCAGCTGTATTGTATCACCTGTAAGCGAAGGTAGCAACAAAATTATGAAAAGCTTGCATAGGTTGTATTTATATATTTCTGTGCTGGTCATAATATAATGGGGCCTTCCTATGTTGCTTGATAACTGAAAGCAACTGTGATCTTTTTTACTTAGAAAAATTGAGCGAGAGCTCACAACAGGCTCCTCACCACCAACGTGGCCATACTATGGTGAACTGAAGAGGTTCATTGTCTGCCTACCAATAAATGATCCGTCCCTCATGGAGGAAAGCTGCTGCGACACCAGTAGCGACACTGTTGAGAAGGTGTGTAACGAACAAATCACCATTGTGCACTTTCCCTGCAATCAATACAAGTACTAGTGCACTTACACCGGTATTATTGTATAAGCTGATGTTTTGAACTAATTGGACTCGCAGAAGTTTTCTATTTACCTGAAAGTATATAACATCATGTATCATGGCTTATGTACATTAATGTCTTACCGAGCAATATTTACTCACACATGAATGTTTTCGCATGTGACTGCATTCTCTATCGTTCTATAAGGCTAGCGATGATCACCAAGTACTCCACCGACATCTAGAACTTGTTCCTGTTTGGTGTGTAATTGTCTAATGAAGCTTAACGTTTTTGAATGTAAAATTGTCTGTTTTAGCCGCATACGTACTGCATCTACCTTTTTGTACCATATAAACAACACAAATATATACATGATACACGATAAATATATCTTGGTGTTTACCTAACTTCTACCGTTTCGTGATCCACTCACATTGAATGCATATTCCCCAATTCTTCCAGATCATTTGGTTACATGCGCTGCAAGTCGCATAATTCTGCTAATGATATTCTAAACTAGCCTACATACCATTTGTATGACCTCAGCCTGAATATGCAGCATCGGTCAATGTTGACCAGCATCATGAAAGTTTATCCTCGTTTGTGCTGTTCATTTCGTCAATGTAATTATCAAGAGTTACGATTGTGGTGCGCTGCCTCTCAGATCAATTTTCTTTTTTTGTATGATCTTTGTAGCTGTTTTCTCTTAAATCTTCGCAGCTGATCTACGAAATGGAGAGCGGAGTCAGTTCCGAGGCTACTGAAACTGACAGCACGCCAGTGCCAGGAACACCAGCTGAACAGGCGCCACCACCTGCACCCACCACGCAGTCGACTCCGAGCCCTGCAACAAGTACGGCAGCAGGGGCAGCAAGGAAGCGACGGCGGCCACTGAGCGCAGCGCGTGAATTTCAAGAAGCTATGCTGGCTGAACAAAAAATGCTACGAGAGCAGCTGGAGCGGGCTCAGCAAACCGAGGTAGAGCTAAGATCTAAACACCTCCAGCTTCAAGAAAAGCTTGTAAATGCCCTCGTTAGTTTCATCAATAAAACATGAGGCAGAAAAACTGTCACTCTTTTTATTTACAAATGCCAGCGCAAAAAAAAAAATTCTAGGAGCGGGCTGCCTGGGTCTGCATCCTCTGGCTCAAGTGGTCCACAAGTGCAGAACGCACACTGACTGCATTCCCAATCTGTGAATCGCTGCTGCGTCCTGGTTGGGGCAGTTGGGAGTCGGACTGCTTCACTTCCTGGAGCCATTGAAGCTGAACAGCATCGCTGAAATGCTCGCAAATATTGTTCAGCACGCAGCGTGCGCGAATCACGAGGCGAACATTTGCAATGTCGCATTCCATTCTCTTCGATGTGAAGCGAAATCTTGCCTTAAGCCTTCCAAAGGCGTTTTCTACCACACGTCTCACTCTGCTTATGTGGTAATTGAAATTTTTCTGCTCTGCACTAAGTGGGGTGTTGTGTCCAAATGACTTGATGAGGTTAGGTGTAAGTGGGAAGGCCTGGTCACACAGCACCAGAGGTGGCACGGCAACGCCTCCTATTGTAACAACTGGAGCCTTGAAAAGTGGTCCCTCAACCATGCTGGAGAGGCTCGACATTTGATACACATGAGAGTCGTGGCATCTTCCAGAGGCACCAACATTTATAAACCTGAAACGGTACTTGTGGTCTACAAGCGCCAGGAGAATAATGCTGTACCTGTAAAAATTAACACAAGAGTCAAAGTCGGTAAGAACACTTCTCTGGTTTAAAAAATGCTAGCGATATTGACATAAATATATCAATGTGGTGAGAACAAATAATGAACAGATTGCTAAGGCACAAGGGTGAAAAAATGGGCACGTTAGACCATTCAGAGGTGGAAGTCGTATACACACATAGATAGCAGTACATACATCGGGTAAACTATCTTGATAACAACTTATGCTCGTCTTAGTTACTATAACGCTTCGCAGCATTTTACGGCTTTTGCAAGGTACTATTGCCAATTCTCATTTGATGTCTAATTATGAGAAAATTTTTCAGCGGCTTCAAGGCCTCAAATGTGATTTGCAACAAGCTTCTCGTTTGACGACACTTACTTGCGTGCACAAGTAAGTTTTTTTCTGAGTAGACTTTGTTGTTTTCTCGAAATCTTGTAGCGAGGACTTCTTCATTGGATCCCTGTAATTGCAAGAAACATGCGCGGCTGCACATTCTAGGAAGAAACTGACGTTGCTGGAGACCAATTTGTGAGTCATATAGGTAGCTTGTAACTTATAATTCGCACAAAAGGAATGGTTCACATGCGGATGTTTCACATGTTCACATGCGGATTTCTCGAATGTTTAGGTGCGATGCCTTACACGCTAACGTTAATTACCAAAGTAGCCAAATCAACTTACCACCCCTTGTAGTTATAGTAATCAGTGGCATGTTCTTGTGGCGGCGAAACTGGGAAGTGGCAGCCATCGAGGGCTCCTACAGCTTGGGGAAAGTCACTGACGGTCATGAATTCCCGAATGTGTTCGGCCATCTCAGATGGACTCAGCATCTTGATCCAGTCGCTTTCCAAGACAGAAACGATGGCTTCGCAAAACTCCTTGTAAATGCCGTTCACCGTCGATCGCCCGACGCCGAAGACACTGGCTACGACTCGGTCCTCTGCCACGGAGCACAGTTTCAATAAGCCGATGGCCACCACCTTTTCAACCGCAATGCACTCGCGCATATTAGTTGTGACCCTCTCTAGCGAAGGGCGTAGGCTGTCCACAATGAAACGGAAGGTGGCTGGGCTCACTCGAAAACACTGCTTAAAGTGGCCGTAACCTAATAACGGCAATGTGTCTTCGAACCAGCGTTCGTTGCGCGCATAGGCCCACCTTTCGCGGTTGATGGCTCGGGGGGACAGTGCGGAAGCAGTCAAAATGAAGCTGTTCATGACGAGTCTTTGTTTTAGGCTCATCACTCTTGCCTTCGCAGCGTTTAGCTCATCTTCGATGGAGCCGAGGGCGACAAGAGCCAGGCCCACCTCAACTGTTGCTTTAGCTCTGTCTCTGCGCTGAGACATCGCAGGACCACGATGAAACGCGGCACGCCGTCACTGACCCAGCTGGACGCAGCCATGTAAAAAGCACGACAAAAACAAAAACACCCAAACACCGACTGTTCATAGTTGCCAGACGAACTTAAGTTGCTGCTAAAAACGCAAAACAGCGAAAGAAAATTACAGGTATGCGCATTATAAGCCACCAGAAAATTAAAGAAACGGTTTTATACTCCGGCGTCGCTGAATGTGATGTACATGCGCAGATTCTTTTTAATATTTCCAATCTTGCTCCTTCCACAAACAGCGCCATTTTTTCTGCAGCGTTCTTCTGAGGCACTGCCTAAAGCAGTAGTCCGGTGCCGTGTGTCATCAGCGCTACTTCTTTCTGCAAATGGTCCCCTTAGGCGACAAAAGGGGTTTACTTCAAAGTACTTTACTAGAGCGGATGAAAAAAAGCGGAAGAAAGAAAAGTGGATGAAAAAATAACCAGCCGTGAGCAGGAAACGAACCTACGACCTTCGAATAATGCGTTCGATGCTCACGGCTGGTTATTTTTTCATCCACTTTTCTTTCTTCTTTACATTCCATTGGTTCTAATGACTTCCCCTGTACATTCCTTGACATTACTGTCTGTTAGATCTCATTAATATATATATATATATATATATATATATATATATATATATATATATATATATATATATATATATATATATATATGACGTATGAAGGTAGCGATGGTTGGTAGAAGCAGAGGAGGAAGAAGTGACAGTAGAATAACATGGCGTATGAGCCAGGCCACGTCACCCAGTCATCGTAGCGTCACACGAGTCGACAGGATGAAGACCTGGCGGCCACTTCATCAACCAGCCACCATCTCCGAACGTCTCAGCAAGACGCAGTGACTGAACGTGGACCACGAAAGTACATCCCAACACTACACCAAGACCAGCATCATGACAGCACCATCAGACGACCTTCCCATCCCCAAGTACACCGGAGCAGCGGACGATGGACCTCTACAGGACTGGTTCGACCTGTTCGAGCACCACGCAACCGCTGCATCTTGGTCGGAACGGGAGATGGTTACGAACTTCAGCGACTACGTCACCAGTGAGGCATTCAAATTTTACTTAATTCACATATTCGAGAACGACGAGTCATGGCAAAAAATCAAAGAGCAGATTATTACTCGTTTTAATGAATATGACCAAGACTTACTCATTGCCGACCATCTAGAGACAATTGCACACTATCGTCAATTTCCTAAGCAGTCCTCAAGCATTCGAAAGTCCAGCGCGAATCGACAAGTGCCTCAAGACGAAGTGGCACATGCGTTTGCTTACAGAAGGCCATACGTATATTGGAAAAACCCAACCGACAAGCGCAGCTCCCTTGTGCACGAAAGTCGGCATTTCCAAAGTCGTGTTTTGTAGAAACACATCTCAGGGACATGGAACAACCTCCAAACAATCCGGACTACGCGTGGGAAAATTGTAATAGAACAGAAAGCAGCAGAAAGGGGGTTATTGGGCATTCATTCATAAAAGTACAGACTGGCAAAGGGTCAAGCAGGAGTGCAAGGAACATTTATGGCTAAAAGGAAAGTGGCAGGTCAAATGACACTCCTTGGTTTCGTGTACTTGTGGACAGGAGCAAAGGCCAGAGAGGAAAACCAGGCAATGGTAGAGTGTATATCAAAGGACATTCAGGAGTTAGGAAGAGAGTGCGAGATAATTATACTAGGAGACATGAATGCACACATAGATGATATAGATGGGTATACCGACCCGACAGGCAAAATGATCATGGATATGTGTGAAAGGCTTGATTTGATCATTTGCAACAGTACCGAGAAGTGTGAAGGGCAATAACATGGGAGGAAGGAAGGCTTCAGTCGACGATAGATTATGCACT